GGGTTCCACCAAATTCAAGGTATGAGTACATAAGTTTGTCATAGATATTGACATAATTCTACCTGCTGTTTGATTTACAAATTTTCAGAGACCTGTTTGAAGTTTTTTTTAATATCTAGTGAAGAGACAGATTGAAATAATGAATTTCCCATTCTATGACAGCACAATATCTAACCATTTCTCATGACTTAATAAACGTCATATAAAAAAGGCACCATTTGTTTTCATTTTTTGAAATGTCGCACTTTCAAGTAGTACTTAAAAGATAAACAGAACAGTAGTTGCTTTAATTACGGTAGTTAAATAAAAAATTAATTTCCACTCTTATTGAGATATATTCCATAATTATTCACTCACTACAAACAAAATATACTCTATATTTATTATTATCTTAGTCTGTTACCTGTATCATTTCCAGAATTACTGTGATATATATAAAAATATATATCTTATTCCTTCAATTGTAAAATTAACTAATTAAGCAATTATCAAAATGGATTAGTAATTGGTACTTGACTGAAAGATGCATAATCTTCCTTCCTTTGCTCGCCCATCTTAAACTCAGCAGCTACCCTGTCAGAAAAATTAAACCCACTGAAGAATAAAAAATACAGAGCAAAGACAGGAAACCTACAAGAGTTTTGTAATTTAAGAGGTTACCTTTATCTGATAGATTTATTCAAATAAGATATGATTGAGATGTTTTTGATGTATGGGTTTGTTTCTCTGATAACTTCTGCTCTGATTTGTTACCTACATGTATGAATAGAACAACATTGTTGTTAATGTTATACTTTAATATAGTGTTTTGCTGATTCAACTGCACAAGTTCTATGACAAAGTGACTTTACTAATCATTAGTAGAAATCAAATGCTAAAAACAATATTTCGTTAAAATGATTGTACATTTGTGTATGAGAAACAAGGATTAAAAAAATTTACATTAATTAAGCAAAAAAAAATTTGTTATTTCAAGAGCTACATGTGCTACAGAAAATATTTGAGCCTATTACCGTAAATCTGACAATAAACACACCATAACAATAAATTCATATATAGAGGATGTTGAATGAGTGTAAGTTCAATACTGAATTTATTGCACAAGTTGAATAAAATTTATTATGCGAGCCTCTGGTGAGCATAATATTATTTTATTCAACGAGTGCAATAAATTCAGTAATGAACTTACACAAATTTAATATTCTATTTATCACATACCCAAAATAAAGACCGTTTAAAGTGAAATAAGAGTCATTTTTTCATTGACGCGCCTATAGTATAACGCTAACATTTAGCGCGTCTTTACACTCTGTTTGTATAACGCTAATGACGTCGCGTCAAAATATATGCAAGGCCGTGCAATACCATATTTACGGAGTCATAAAATCGGCACGAGTGTGTGATAAGAATTTATATGTATTTCATTTAATATTTAAATTTATTTAAGTGAAACAGCAGGAAATGTTGATTTTTTTCCCACATATTTTGAATAAAAAGTAGTGTAACAGTTTAATGTGCTTTGGAGTAGGAGGACTTTTGAAGACGTAGTAATAAAAGTCTTGTCTTGAAACAAATCCACTTATCATTGTTTCATATTGTGACAATCTGTAAAACTTCCTGTATAAAATATACTGTAAATTGCTTATGATAAATAGTGAGTCACATTCTTGAAAAGCTAAGATGAAAAGAAACTGCATTAGAACATGCAGTTTTTTGTGTCGCCTTGAAAAGGTGACATATAGGGGTTACTTTTGTCGGCGGTGTCGGCGGCGGCGTCTGTGTCGGCGTCGTTGTCTGCGTCGTTGTCGGCGTCGTTGTCGGCGTCCCCTAAAGCTTGTCCGGAGCATAACTCAGTCACTATAAGTCTGATTGACTTCAAACTTTGTATGCATGCTTCTTTTAATAACCCGAAGTGCAGTGCACAAGGACCGGTACTCTGCAGTTCTTATTTTTTGAGTTATTGCCCTTTGTTAATTTTCATACATTAATTTTGTCCGGGCCATTTCTCTTCAACTAAAAAAGCTATGGACTTGAAACTCATAGGATGATAGATCTCATTATTAAGAAGTGCAGTGCACAAGAACCAGTACTCTGCACTTCCTAATTTTTAAGTTATTGCCCTTTGTTAATTTTCATACTTTATTTTTGTCCGGGCCATTTCTCCTAATGTATAAAAGCCATGGACTTGAAACTTCATAGGATGATAGGTCTCATTAAGAAGAAGTGCAGTGCACAAGAACTGGTACTCTGCATTTCTTATTTTTTGAGTTATTGCCCTTTGTTTATTTTCATACTTTAATTTTGTCCGGGCCATTTCTCCTTATGTATAAAAGCTATGGACTTGAAACTTCATAGGATGATAGATCTCATTATTAAGATATGCAGTGCACAAGAATCGGTACTCTGCATTTCTTAATTTTTGAGTTATGGCCCTTTGTTAATTTTCATACTTAATTTTTGTCCAGGCCATTTCTCCGAAAGTATAAAAGTTATGGACTTGAAACTTCATAGGATGATAGATCTCATTAAAAAGAAGTGCAGTGCATAAGAACTGATACTCTGCATTTCTTATTTTTGAGTAGAACTGATACTCTGCATTTCTTATTTTTGAGTTATTGCCCTTTGTTGATTTTCTTACTTTATTTTTGTCCTGGTCATTTCTCCTCAAGTATGAAAGCTATGGACTTGAAACATCATAGAATGATAGATCTTATTGATAAGAAGTGCAGTGTACAGAAACTGCTGCTCTGCACTTATTATTTTTTTAGTTATTGCCCTTTGTTATTTTTCATATTTCATTTTTGTCCTGGCCATTTCCCCTAAACTACATTGTTCACAAGGCGACACATCCGACTCGCGGAGTTCTAGTCTAATGTACATGTAAAAACTGGCCCCTTGTTTACTAGGAAAATATTGGATCAGGATCAAATGATTGAGTATCATGTGTTCTAAGAAAATAGGAGATTTTTTGCGGGTTGGTTAAACTGAATGACAGATATTTATTTAAATTGAGAACTGTCCATTTCTTAGAAAATGGTGACAACCAAGTTAAACTGTTAATCCAAGGAATTCTCGGTTTATTGAGCCGTTAATTACTTGGTATAACCTTCCATATCATTACTTTAGTGCAATAAACCCCTGTTAAATTTTATAACGAGTTAACCCATTACTGCATTAAGGTGACGATAAAACAGATAAAAGATAGGTCCAAGTAAAAGTTTCATTGCAACAATTTTATCTTTAAGTCAAAACTGTTGTTTCATTATACGAGGGTTGTTCGGGAAGTTCTGAGAATTGTTTTATAGCACACGTTGTAGTCGGGTTAGCGTAAATATATATATATGCATTTATTTCAATATATACTGTACAGTATCTGAAAATATCATCATCTTACCCACAGAAACTAAAACATAATAAAAATAGTAAAAACTAAATAACCATATAACAAACACCCGGAGCACGCCGACGTCATTTGCAACGTTATGCGACATTAAAGTCCATCGATCGTCGCACCTTTTCAACGTAGTCACCTGCAATTTTGATGCATTTCCTGTGTCGGCTGATCCACTTATTAGTATTCCGTGTACAGCAGAAACTGATACGCAAAGTTCATCTGCAATAGCTCTAACTGTCGTTCTTCCGTCGCAATTTATCATGTCTTTTACCGAGTCCTTAATTGAACATGCAACAACAGACTGCCGACCGCATCTAGGATCGTCTTCGATCGAGTTTCTTCCTTCTTTAAAACAAGCATGCCATCTATACACTGTAGCCGGACTGCATTTCTTGTATTTTCCTGTAGAATTGATCATTTTCATTGTTTCTGTGGAAGACTTTTCCAGCGCAACACAAAATTTCACGATGCTTCGCAATTCAAGGTCACCTATCGGCGTCATGTTGTTTATTCAGTGGCTCTGGGCAACAACTTTAAAACAATGTTGATCCGTTGAGAATTTAAATAACGTTATGATATTTTCAGGAAATGACATCATGACGTTCCGCTGCTGACCAGCGTTTTCGCGCATTTTTTACGTTTTCAAAATTACGAAATATTATTAGTGTAGCGCGTTATACCTTTCTTTAGAGTCGGACTGCTCCGGTGCGGCGTTATAGTGTTGCTATGGTTACTGCTTTTTCCGGCTATTGTTGTCTGATTCTATTCAATTTTTAGGAATAGTTCCGTGATATGCTAATCTTAGTATGTGCAAAATATTATGTCTTAGAAACAAAAAATATAGGAGATACATTTGTATGACAAAATTCTCAGAACTTCCCGAACAACCCTCGTAGAAACAACTTTGTCTCAGATATTGGTTATATTGAGATGAAATTGTTTCAGTATTTAATTTACTGATATAATTGTCTGTAACAGATTTTTCACAAAATACATTTGTTGTTAATGGTGTAAGAATTATACACCTGTATGAATCACTTTTATCAGTACTGATTAGATCATATAACTACTTGCCAAAGGTGATTTCTTCCTAATTGAAACAAAACATTGAATCATTATTTATGTATTATATTAACCACCATAAAGGCAGATAGTGAAATGTGAAATTGTAAGATATGTGAGTGAAAGATATGCTCCAAGCAATGTACAAAAATAAAACTATTTGAACATTTTATCTATTAAAATGCAATATAAGGTATGTACATGAATATGCACAGAAATAAACGTTCATTACAATTGTAAACTAAGTGCAATTGTACAATGTGTAAATTGTATGTTTAACAAGTATAATTGTTAAAACATGTATGTAACTACATGTTTTTAGGCTGAAAGAAGTTATAAAAATAGAGAAAAAAGAATTTCCCCCAGCCTTAAAATGTTTTCAAAAATACATTCATTGTACAATTGTAACTTTAAGGTGTTCCATCCATAAATACCTTGTGGGATTGCCAATTTTAGTACATTGTAATTTGATCATTACATCTACAGTTTTTGGTTTATTCAAAATGCTAATAATTACTATTTGTTTTGTGTGTTTTATTTTCAGTATGGTTTAAGGCAGTACAAGGTTTGATGGCATGTGCTCTGGCTAGCACAATGATCGCACTTATAGTCGGTCTCTTCTCGTTATGTTGTGAGTGTAAGGGATGTAACCCTAACATGGCAGCAGCTTTTTTCGCGAATCTAACATGTAAGTATAAGGTGTCAATGGCCTTGTTGCTTTTTCATGAGTGAAATTTTGTGGAATAAAATTTCCTTATATTGAATTGATATAAAACTTTATAAATATAAAGCTATTATTAGTGTTTTAGCCTTTTTACTGAAACTAAAGCAAATAAGTCAGATAGTTATGTGAAGCTTACAAGTAATTGAATTCATACACTGTATAATCTCAACAATAAAATGAAATAAAAATCTGGTATTCGATACTGTATAGATTTACACAGAATATTACATTGTAATACATGACTGTGTATAATGTAATAAATTATTTATAACTTTTTATTGCCACAAATAACAACCAATATCAAAACCAAAGCAGTTTATTTGTTTCCCTATATGGTTGATAAAAAAATTCTTACCCTCCAACTTCCTGAAATACAGATCTCAAGTCAATATTGTACCCTACCGTCATGAGTACTAAAATATAATCTGGATGAAAGAGTTCTGTAGTAGATACATTTTGTATATTTTTATGGCAAAGAAGCAGACTATCTGTTTTCAAAGAAAAAAATGTGAAAATATGCAGGTTTTAACCCTTTTTTTGATTCCTTGCAACTATTTTAAGGGAATGTTTGTACAACAGTAGATTTTCTGTAATCATCAAGAGTTGTGCTGCTGTAAGAAATATGACCTTTACTCCTACATTGTAATTGACCTTTATCTTCATATACATATTTTTAAGATTGTCCTGAAAGTTCATGATTATATAAAATAGATTAATGTTTTACAAATCTTGTTTCATGTTTATTTTTGTCTTAATTATTAAATGATGAACACACACCAGCAAGCAATGGCAATATAAATTATCTTGTCAAAGAAAATGACATGACAACTTTTGCACTTGTATGAAATGTACAGTACATTTTAGCAACCCAACCTCTCTATATACAACAGTTATTAGAAGTATAATTTATGGTCTAACCTGTAGAACCATTTAAGCAAAAAAGTATAAAGTGAACTATATCAAAATTATCAGTTTTGTGTTTATATATAGTTCAAAATTACAACACATCTCTTTAATGATATATAATAATATTGCTTCTATTTCAGTTATCCTGCTGGCAGTGTCTGTTTGTGTGTTTGGTGCCAAAGCCCATATGGAGCACAAAGCCACAGTTATTCAAAATCAAGGGGAAAATTTGCCTACATTTGGATGGAGTTTTTGGGTGGCGGTTGGAGGGGCTATAATGGCCCTTGTATCTTCATTGCTTTACTTCTGTGTAGGAAGAAAGGAGGATTATCTTACGTATTAATTGTTAGACAGTAGTAGCTGTACACAATATTAGAGTAGATGCAGTGCATTGATCAGCAAGAACATTAACACTCAGACTATCTGATTCAGGATAATTTGGAACATAAAAGGTCAGGTTACCTCATTCAGGATTATTTTGGATCATGAATGGTCAGACTACCTAATTCAGGAATATTTTGAACTAAAATGGTCATACTGTCTGATTGTTTCGGGAACAGTAAGTCAGACTACCTAATTATGGATTGATTTGGAACATGAATGGTCAGACTACCTAATTATGGATTGATTTTGGAATGATAATAGTCAGACTACCTAATTCAGGATTATTCTTTAATTTTAGAGATTTTACTAGTGGTGGAACTGGTTGGATGAGTTTGTGTTTTGTATGGGTTTTACACAACATACATAGGCTACCTGTTTGTATGAGATACTATTAGTAATGAAATAAGGAAAATTGTATTTAATTAAGTGACTGATTATTGTTTGCTGGTTCATTTTTCATTGAGGTCCTTTCAGCCATTCAACCTGATAATAAAATAATATTTGAGTTAATGTACATGTTTATAAAGGGATATGCAATACCTAATGCATAATTTTTCAACCACCAGGTTAAAGTAATGTGTTCATGTTTCTACTAAGTGCTAGCTATTTTCCCTCATAAAGCAATTGTATCTGATTCAAAGAAGAGCAAATTTACAATAAGATTACCACATGGACTTTAATTATCTAATGACCTCAAAATTGACCATGGCATCAAAATTGATAAAAGCAAGTTTTTTTTTGTTTTTATTTGAAAGGACCTGTTTTGCAATTTATAACTATTTTTATATTCAATTTAATGTGATTTGTCTCATAATTGTTATCCTATTTATAGATCAAAATCTATTTATAGATTAAAGACCTATTTATAGATTAAAGGCCTATTTATAGATCAAAAGTCAGTTGATACATGTATTTTAAATATTTTTATTATGTTAAAAGACCACCTTAGATTATAACCAGCACCATTATTTGTAGTGGTATGCTTCATAGATGAATACAGGTTGTAGAAGTATATAAACAGGTATAATGTTTCCTAAAACTATATATTTTATAAATGCTTGCTTTCTGCTTAGTTTTTTAAAGGAAAGAAGTGATTGGTTAAACAGCTTCATTAAAATGTTAGTCAAATTTTGTTGTTACCTCAAAACCTAGACCTTGAAACTTTCATGTGATTAAAAAAAATAGTACATGTATTACATTATACACTGTAAAGTAATTATTTTCCCTTTACTTAATTTTTTTTGTAGAATATAAGTGACAATAATGTTGTGTTGTATTTGAGAACAATTATGATGAAATGATATGATGAAATGTTGTTGATCTTTTTGAATAATTGAAAAAAATCAGGGCTTTGATATCATTGTAATTATTTTTAGAGCAAGAAATGTTCAAAGTTTGTATTTTTTTTACTTTTCTATTTATAATTGATTGTGTACAGATGTATGTATATATTTTTTACCATCATGGTTGTATTTAAAGCACATTTTCTTGTCATGATATTTTCAGGTCAGTTTCTTTTCTGTTTCTGCTAGTTGTTATCTTAACCTTTTATCTGCAGAGTTCTGTAGCAGGTTTTTTCCTGCTTTAAAATTGCTATGGTGTTCAATGTCTAAAAAACAACATTTCAGCTACTGACAGTATAGAGCCTGGTCAGACTGCATATATGTGCTGACTGGCCGGGCCCGATACTGGTGGCAAAGGCTGTTCAATTGCAGTTAAGGGTTGAGGGACATGAATCTTTTAATTGATAGATTGAGACAACCTTGAATTATTATGTGTTTTTTTTAATAATTGTACAAATGAAAGCATTTTTAAGTGATAAATTTTTTATGGTCTTTTGATTTTTTAAGCAATGTAAAAAAAAATTTATTGCTGTCAAATTGAGTTAACTATTATAATGGTGACTGACTAATACTTGATAATGGAAAAATATTAAGGATAAAGTACAAAAAACTATCTTATTTATTAAAGGCTACCCTTCTCTTTAAAAATTTAATGTTACTGATACATTTCAAACAGTATATATAGGATATGGTATTTATAGAAATATCCATTGGTCAAGTGGATTTTTTTATTATTTTTGCATAGTAAAATATGAAATTGAATGAATGTTAAGTTATTTTAACATTTACCTATTTACTTACCATTTACACTTGGATTTGCATAATGTAACATTACTATAACTATGGCAAGACTGTTGTTATATACATGTAATGCCAAGCTACAGATCTGAAATGATGAATTAATAGAGATAATGATAAAGAAATATAAATTCAGTTCTTGATATGATACAGTCCATTTCTCTTTTCATGGAATAATCTTTCAACATTTAATGAAAGTAATCTCATTCTATATTAGCAGCAAAATAATATGTCAAAAATAGACTTTTGGTAATTTGTTTTAGTGCTAAATATTTTTCATTTTATGAAGGATTTTTCTATATATGCCATATAAGTGTAGGCCATGATTTGAGGTTGTGAAAGAAATGCGTAAAATGTTGATTTTTTTCTTTTCCCTTTTTTTACTCACCTGCTGTGCAATACACTCAAGCTTTGAGGTGTTCCCTCCATCCATGACGTGTAAACATTCAGCAGACTTCATCACTTCCTGTATCTAATAATAATTAGACAAGCAGCTAGTGAACATGATTATTTCTTGCTACTGGTCGCACAGATGCTTGTTTCATGTTTTTTTTCACTTAGAGACTGTGAGTGGTGAAATTTGCTGATTTTGCATGAACATAGATGGATGGATGTCGTGTACTAATTCATATGCCAGTGTATATATACATACATACATACATATTATATATAATCATTTCATGTATTTATTAGATGTATTCTATATTTGCTTATATATGGTAAGATTTTTCTGGCTTTCCACTAAACGCAAAAAAAAAAAAAAAAAAAAAAAAAAGTATAGCTTTATATTGTAAAGAATAAAGAGATTTTGTATAAACACTGACCTTAAAACGTCCTTAAAAGTTTATTAATTTTTTTGTACCATACATGTAAGATATCCGCAATAAGGAACCATGCCCAAATTATTGGTACCAGGAATACTTATTGGCAACTGATTAGCTATAAGTATAACTTTGAACTTTGTTGATTTTTTTTTCTTGAACTTCAATTCTCTCATCTATTGCAAGATCTTAAAAGAATTCATGTGGCGTTTTAGTTGCATTTACTGATCAATTTTGTTCCAGATTATAATATAGAAAAAAATGAGGAAAACATGTTAATTTTCTTTGTATAAAACAAAATTGATTTGATTTTATATCATTTTGGAAAACAGAATAATCTTGTTATTATATTAGGTCATATAGATTGTGTGGCAATTATCAGTATTGCATGTGTGTACATTATTTGATGTTAATTACCATTTTAAGTTGTGAATAAAAACATTTTTTATTGTATTTTTTATTCATAATCAACAAGAAAACACTTTTGATGTTTTAAATACTGATTACTAATATACTCATACTTGATGTTTTTAAATGTACATTTTTTTTTGATAATTAATTTAATTTTAGAAATTCATTGTTTTGTTAATGTGAATGAGCTGTTTGTAACATGAGATTTACATTGGAAGGTTGCACTTTTTAGGTTGTAAGATGTCAGTGACCTGTAAACACTAAGGTTACAGTAAAGATCTTCAGGTGATTGTTTTAACAAAAAGCAGTATGTCAAAAATGTCAGGACATTTTCACATAACTGTCCAATTAAATTATTTTTAACGCAAGATTTTCTTATGCTTTTCAGTAGTGTGTAATTCAAAAAGTATTTTTACAAGACTTAAGATTTTTTTTTTCATCCTGAACATACCTACACCTTACTCTTTATTCTAAATAAAGTCTGATTTATCTCAGTTTTATTGCTTGTTTACAGGGTAATTAATTTTAGATTGAAGGTTGTTACGTGAAAGAATGCAGGACATGTTTTTTGATGTTTATTTGTCATTTTCACATAAAAGAAATATATATTTCAAAAAGAGTCCATCCATATAGGGAAATGGTGCTATGCATATTTAACCAGCATTTAATCATTATTCATATCCTTTTATTCACTACAATGAGATTTTAGCTTAAGGCTTGATATACATATATATCCCTCATCTATACCATAAATCTGTATAATGACTAAATACATTGCTTTTATACACAGTAGTTTATTCGCATAATTTTGAATTCCAAGGTTATAATTTTTTAAAAAAATCAACAAGTCACTAAATTGTTAAGTCCTTATAACAAATTATGCAGCAAGATTGATATTACAACAGAAATGAGTCAGACCTACTGTTACAGATGTGCTGCACTACTGGCTGATCAATTCCTATTTTCACTCAATTTATAAACATTTTTAGGGGATTTAAAACCTGCCCCCACCCACACCTCCAAAATATCCCCCACTCCGCCAAAATCTCCCCACCCAAAACTCTAAAAAAACAATGAAAAGAAACCAACAAAATGACATATATTTTAAAACTAAAGATAATGAAATAATACAGGCTAATTTCTTGCATTTAGTAATGATTGCAATTGATTTTATTGATAGTATATGAAAAATTGCTTTGAGCTAAATACATAAACCTTCAAAATGTATATAACACAAGAATTGATCACTTAAATGTGCACAAATTATTGTATACATTGTATTATTTACCCCCTCACCCCCCTTCTTTTTTTTGAGAAACACTAAAAAATACTTTGGATACTCCTGCTCTAACCTTCTCGCTCTACTTTTAAAGATAATGGCTGAATTTGATGGAGTATTATTTCCTAATTTTTAGCTCGACTATTCGAAGAATATGAGAGCTATTGTAGTCGCCCCGGCGTCGGCGTCGGCGTCCGCGTCCGCGTCGGCGTCTGCGTTGGTTAAAGTTTTTTGTAAAGTCAAATATCTCAATTATTACTTGAGATATTTTCAATTGAAACTTACAATACTTATTTATAGTAACAAGGTACATCAGATGACAAGTTTAAAATAACTCTCCTACAATATTGACAGAATTATGCCCCTTTTTAACTTAGAAATTTTTTGGTTAAAGTTTTTTGTAAAGTCAAATATCTCAATTATTGCTTGAGATATTCAATTGAAAACTTACAATACTTATTTATAGTAACAAGGTACAGGAGATTGACAAGTTGGATAACTCTGCCTACAATATTGACAGAATTATGCCCCTTTTTAACTTAGAAATTTTTGGTTAAAGTTTTTTGTAAAGTCAAATATCTCAATTATTGCTTGAGATATTTCAATTGAAACTTACAATACTTATTTCATAGTAACAAGGTACATCAGATTGACAAGTTGGATAACTCTGCCTACAATATTGGACAGAATTATGCCTCTTTGGGAAACTTAAAATTTTGGTTAAAAGTTTTTTTGTAAAGTCAAATATCTCAATTTATTTGCTTGAGATATTAACAAATTAGAAATATTAAAATAACTATATTTTGTAGTTAACTATTGATACATCCAGTATTGCAAAATTGCATAACTCTGCCTGCCAATATTTGCAAGAATTTATTTTCGCCCCTTTGAAATTAGTAATTTGGCTTAAAGTTAACGGTCTTCAAAAAGATATTTACTTGAAACTTTAGCACATGCATTTAGTGTGTCATAATTGGAGGTCATAATGTATAGTCAGCTACCAAGTTCCATGAACTCTATCTTGCATTGAAGGCTGATTCATATCCCCATTTTCTACTTAGTCTCTTGGTTAATGTTTACATTTGCAAGTTTTACATATCCCAAAAAACTATTAAATAAGATATTTATTTAAAACTTCACATATTGCATTTTCGGTCATAATTGTAGGCCACTGACAAAGATCCATAATTTCCTTATTCTTGCATTTAGGCTGAAGTTTTTTTCTCCCCTTTTTTCAACTTAGGAAAATTCTATGGGTAAAGTTTGTTTGTAAGCTGTTATCTCAATAAAACTACTGAAGGGTTTTTGTGCTTTTTTGGGACAATTTTAATGCATTCATAATAATAAAGCAGTGATTTACTTGATAAAAACAGCTTATAACAAGCCTTGTACCTAAGTCTGTTCAAATTTATGTACTTTATAGTAATTTAGTTTATTATACTAAATAAAAACAACCCTTGTACATTACCTTCCGAATAGTAAAGCCAATACTGTTAATTAGACTTCTCTCTAAGGCCTAAACATGAATTTTTAAAAAAAAAAATTAGCCCTTTTGTGAACTTAAAAATTTAAACATTATCAAGGCTCTTTTACTATCAAGCACTTAGAATAGTCGAGCGTGCTGTCCTTCCGACAGCTCTTGTTATGTTGTAGAAATATATATTTTTTACTTGTATAGTCATAAAAAGAGCATTAGCTTCCCTGTACATTTATTTAGTATTAGAATTATACATGTAACATAATGATTTATAATTCAGGTTACTTTTTTGTGCCATATTGACGTTTTTTTTACTGAATGCCTTTGCTAATAATGATTGTTTTTAATGATTTCCACTAAGAATGAATGCTAATTTTAATGATTTATCTTAAATTATATTTCCTTAAATTTTCATTTTTAGTTCAGTACAAGGTTTTATACCTAAATATTGATGGAATATTTGGGGGCATATTGTTTTTTCCTGTCCATCTGTCTGTCTGCACAATACTTTAACCTTTTGATGTAATGTCTTTATTCTAGAACCTTCGTACTTAATTGCTGAGAACAATATCTTTAATATATTGAAATTAATTTTGACCCTTCAAGGTCAGATTTACAAATTTAAGAAATTTCACTCAAAACTTTGTTATATAATAATAACTCATCATTTGGGATAGGTGCATTTGTTTTACAAAGACATCATTCATTGTTTTGCTCCTCTAACTTTTTCTTACACTGTATTTAATTTAGACTGGAGTCTTTGTGATTTATTAACTGTGTTGTATATATACATATACATGATTATATAGTCTTAAAAAATAAAAAAACATTTATATCTTGTCAGTTTTTCTCTCTCTTTTCTCTGTATCTATGTTAGATACCCTTTTAAGCTTTAAACTGCTCTTACCAGAATTGATAAGCTTTCAGCATGAGAATAGAGCTAGGCCACCCAGCATTGCCTTGCAGTGTAAACAATTTTGGATGAATTATTCTAAATTTTCATCCTTATTTCTCCAAATTTGATAATAGATAGTTCCAAAAAAGGAGCTAAATGAGTCTGTATCAGAAGTTCAGGAGGTTAAAGGTTAAAAATAAAACAACAATAAAAATCAACTGTACAATACTAGTATGTAAGATAACATTGAATCAGATGTACATGTATTATACTCCTAAAGGGATCTTAATTTATGTTTAAAAAACTCTTGCCATACAGAGACTGATCTAGTCAAATGTTGGATGAACTGCATTAACTTTGGATGAACTGCATTTTTGTATGCTACACAATACAAGAGCAATAGGATAGATATAGCAATATACCCTTTATATCCTTTTAGGTTCAGATAAATATTACTTTCTACTCACCACATGTGAGGAAGTTATCCAGCTAGCTTACAGAAGGTTGATGGTTCTACTTGCAGTGCTTGCTCTTGCACAAAAGAGCACCTGTCAGGTCTCCTTCCACCATTAAAGCTGGAAAATCACTCCTGTAGTGTTTGTGTGGCTTAAACTGAACAAGATCATTACTTCCATACTGAAGGCATGTTATTATTAGCTGTTTAATATACCTATATTACAGTTATATTTCTCTTATTTATAGATATTTGCCTAACTTACCATTGGTGAATCAACTATTGATACATGTTGGTCATACATATTTAAGCTTTCAAATTTTACTCGATATATGTAGATATTATTTTTTACCACAGTTTAAAAGGGAAGGATGGCCAAGTGGTAAAAGGTTTCTGGGTGATGGGTGATGACCATGTATGAAAAAAAGTTCTGATATATCCATGGAAACAGACCCTAGAGTTATCCAAATTTATGATTATCAAAAAGTGTATTCATTCACAAGAACAGGTGAAATAAAAATGTTAAAATTTATACAATTTAAAGCTAACTCATAAAATATTTCACAGAGACAAAATATCTTAATATAGATTTGTCTAAACGTTTGAAGTGGCTGATATATAAAATTGTTGATGTAAGATGATATTAAACAACTTACAAATTAGCCTTACAGCACAGAGGAAGTTTATACATGTAGCTTGTATGTTGACAATGTTTTATTATGTTTTATTACAGTTGTTGATGTATCCTAAATGTTCCGTGTGATTTTATGTCCTTATACCTTGTGGCCTATTGAAAGTTTTGTTTAAAACATTTTTCATTTCCAATACTATCTGTTATCATACATATTTAAGCTTAAAATGACATATTTTGATTTTAGCATGTATATGTGTAAGAAAATAAAATATTTGATTTTAGCATGTTTTTAGCATGTATATGTGAGAAAATGAAATACTTTGTTTTTAGCATGTATTTGTTTATGAAAATGAAATATTTTGTTTTTAGCATGCATATTTTAATATCAGTACATTTTGAATACAGCTTTAGAGAAGAAGAAACTCTATATTTGATGATTTTGTCATCTAATGCACCAGAAAATTGTAACCAACGGTCAGCCCCGTTCTTGGGGAAGGTGGGAAATGAACATAGCTTGTACCTTTTGTCTGTCAATGGGGTGTTGTTTTAGCAACAAATTGATTGAAGATATGATGTTTGTATCGCAGTGCCAAATTTTTTAGGGGGATTTTAGTATCTGTCTCCGCAGGGCGGGTCCTTTACTGCAGGGTTTGGCCTTTACCAAGGGTTTGAAAATCCAAATCGAAGTTGCTGCTATTCTAGGGAGACTGGAAGACTATGGTTACAATTAAATAGAATGTAGATGATTTATTAATGAATCAGCTTTATCTATTTCTATATTTTTGTATGATCGCAATATTTACTTAATATTTTTGAAATGACAAATCTACATTACTGTGTTTGTTGATGTATATTTTGATGTCCCATCATATTGTAAGCAACTTGTAAAGCTGATTTAATGTTAACGAAATCATACATATATGTAGATATTTATACTACATACCATAATGTAATTATAATAAATTGGTTTTGGTAGATTTTGCTATTAAGTGTTTGTGTCTGCTTTACTCTCATTTTATTGGTCTTTGCAGCTTCTTTGCCGATATGAATATTGTAAGTTCCAAAAAGCTTTTTAGCTTGACTACAAAGAA